CTCTGCAAACACTAGTGTCATATGTGAGCATCATCAACTTCTTTCTCCAATGTTGTGAAGCTCAGAGCACGCCCCAGGGAGAAGGTGCAGTAGGGGTGTAAGAAATGGCACCGTAAACCTTATTGTCACCCCAACTGGAGTACTCTGATATCCTCCCAGACACACCCCAAGCCTTGTAATGATTCATTTTCCCCTTCAAGGCTGCCATTGATGCTCACTTCTCTAAGTCATTATCCACATCCGCATGCCCAGAGTGGGTAAAGAAGCACATGGTGTGATTTGCATTCCTGAGCTGCTTCCACATGCCTCTGGGCATCTTCTCTGCCTTCTCTGGGCTGGGAGCCTCTGCAGTGCACCTTGAAACTGTGGAGGGGAGCTTTTGACTTCTCTCATCTGCCCTTCCTCTAAAGCATGGGCTGCATGGGGAGAAGAGGAAGATCTATTTCCTTTTATGAGACCAACGAGGGCATTCCTAGCTCCTTCCAGGGCCCCCCAAATCGGAATGAATGCAATGAGAGCTTCTTAGAGAAAGCCAAACTTGCCCAGAACATAGATTTATGCTAAAACAAACAAAAATGTCAGATGTTCCACTGAGGCTACATGGGTGAGATGAATGAGGAGCAGGAGAAAAAGGAGACATGCTCTTGGTGTCATGTGTCACAGAAGAAGGACATTTTACTTTCTGAAGCTGGAGGGCCCTGCCTGGAAAATGAGTCTTCCCACCACACTGACACTGTGCTTTCTGGAGCCAGACAGCACGCTTAAATATATAGAGAGAGAGCAAAGCAATCTGAACAAAACAGTTGGCTTAAATGACAATTGGGTCAGAAAATGTGCCCTCAGTCCTTGGTTTATCCAGTCTCAGCAAATTTTGGTGCACCATTGACTAGTTTTATATTCTTCACTGATTTTTAACCATTTTTGTCCGTTTATCAGAATTTTGAGGTGTTTTGCTGTTTTCTTTCCACTTTGCTCTGTGGTGTCTCATTCATTATCAGTCAGTCTTTCCTGTCCTAGCTGTAGTAACTGCAAATTTTTGAAAAAGATACAAACCCAGTATTCAATACGAAAATGCAGCAGAGAAATCTCCATTGGTGACAACATAATATTCATAGCACAATGTCACTTTTATTTAAATGTGATAAATAGATAGAGAACAGGGGCCAAAGACTATACATAAAACCATAGTTTTCTCGTAAGAACTGTGTTACAGGTGGTTCTGAGAATTCTCTTTCAATCTATATATTTGGATTTTTTTTCTATGTTAAGCATAAATTGTTTTTGTAGTAAGGAAAAATACAAGCAATAAAGCAGAAAATAGAAAAATACAGAGTCTGAAAAGTATTGAGGATACATTAAATTTCTCAAACCCACTTTGATCACCTATGCCTATTCTGGCACTATTTTCATAGATTTCCAAATTTTGAAAATTGGATTGAAAAAATTTCAAATAGTCAATTCGTAAGAGCTTTTCTACCTAAACTGTACATGTAATTTATCATTTTCCATGTTTCCTAAATCTCATGTGGCTAGACATGAAGGTGTCTCAGATGAGCAGAGGGAGAAATGGACAGAAGATGAAGCAGACACAGAAAGCCAACAGGCAGGGGGTCCTCATGGCTGGGAGCCTCCTGAACGGGGAGATCACCCAGGAGGGAGACGGGAGCCTAGGTTTCCCTGGGGAGTGAGAGGCATCCAGCCCTGTGTGGATACAAGTCTGAGGGGAGCAGGAGCAGAGGGTGATGAGCCGCAGAGAAGCCTCTGTCCTAAAATGAGATGTCTGTGTGCTCCTGGGCTAGGCGTTTGTTGACCAGACCTTTGATGACTCTCTGATCCTGCAGCTCCACTCCAACACCTGCTGCTCATATTGGCAAAGGCCCATATTGCCCTCCCTGCTCCCCATCTGCTTGACAGTCGCCAGCAGTAACCGGAACCTCTCAACATCCTCTGACCTCTGGAATAGCCAGGAACACTAAACCTTTCTCCAAAACCAGATCTGTGGATGTCTTAAGACATTGGGTATCTTCTTTCAGGGTAATTCCCTTGCACCATACTTCTCAGTATGATCAAGTTCATTCCAATGTTAAATTTTGAACTCCTGTTTCAGGCAAATTCATGACCTCTCTGCGCAGGTTTCCATGGTGCGGATGTGTGCACTGTGTTTGCCCTGGTCCTGAAGATAGGAGAGCAGGATCAGACTCAGACAAGAAGACAAGAAAAAACATTTCCTCAGTCTTTATTGGAAATGGCAGCAAGTCTGAAGTCAAAAGACAATAGAACATGTTGACTTGATGCAGTAAGAAAAGAAAAAGGAAAAGGAAAGTATTTTCTTCTAAATTACTATATATGAACACATTAAAAATCCACAATAATTTCCCATAATGTCAGTAGAATTTTCTAGAAATACTTCTACCAGAAAGAAGCCTAGGAAAAGGATACTTGAGAGCAGGGTCACCCTGGACTCCAGGCTAAGCAGTGAGCTGTTGGAGTGGGACCAAGACCCAGCAGACAAATGAGCTCCCAGGCATGTTCTGGTTCAAGGAAATGCTGAGCTCTGCCTGTAACTCTGGGGCTTAGATGCGAGTTTTTAAACCAGCCATTCTATTTCCAGATTGTGCACTCATGCAAGTGATTTTGGGGCTAAGGAAGGATGAAAAAAAGCTGAAGACAAAATTCCTCCAATGAATGAGGACACTGGGTAATCATGCACCTGCCAGAATCCACGCAGAAAGGGGAAAACTGGAACAAAGTTTTCCCAAATTGGCCTGCAGTCCTCTACACAGATTCAGAGAGAAAATGCCAGAGGGATGCTGATTGGGAAGGAATAGTGGAACTCCACATTCCAAGCTCAGGAATGTTCCATGAGAGAGAGAAAGGCAGGGCGAATAGAGAGGAGATTAAACCTGGTGCTACACAGCTCCCAGGCAGAGCGAGGACTGCACAGTGGAAGCTGAAGTCATCGATCTGTGAAATTCAGTGCAAGGTCCTGCAGTTCGTTTGTCAGTTCACATGGGTGTTGCAGATGTGTTGTTAGTGCTTACTTTACACCAAGCACTATCCTAAGTGCTTAGGATGTATCATTTAATATGATCATGTGATGATGATGAAAGTCACAAAATGACAATAAGAGCACTTATGAAGACTTACCACGTGCCAGGCTCTAAGCACTTTGCATGGCTTTATCATTTTATCCTCACAACAACCCAATGAAGATGGAGAAACTGAGGGGCAGGAAGGTACCTTCCCAGATGCACACACACAGGACACAAAGGCCCAGGCAGAGGGGTCCCTGCCCTCCAGGGCTATCCTTCAGCGACTGGGTTCAGAATCGAAACAAGGAACAGGCTGGGCTAATGACCTTTCTGACAGTTTGCTGGCATTTTCTTCTCGTTCTGATTCCTGACTTTTTCTTTCTTTCTTTCTTTCTTTTATGTTTTTCAAAAGATTGGCACCTGAGCTAACAACTGTTGCCAATCTTCTTCTTCATTTTTTTATTTCTGTGCTTTTTTTTCCTCCCCCAATCCCTCAAATATATAGTTGTATATTTTAGTTGTGGGTCCCTCTAGTTGTGGCAGGTGTGACGCCACCTCAACATGGCCTAATGAGCAGTGCCATGTGCACGCCCAGCATCTGAACCCTGGGCCGCCGAAGCGAAGAGTGTAAACTTACCCTCTCGGCCATGGGGGCGGCCCCATCTTTCTTAATTACAAAGACTAAATTGTCTTCTTCCTTCCCTCTATTGTGTCAATTTGTTAATTATTATCTTGAGACGTCCTTCCAGTGACAAATATTACATCTTTCAAACATATACTTAAATGAGTATTTCCCTATGAATATTGAGTTGGTCATTATCCATGATCCCCATCTTCTCTTCATTCTTGATCAATTCCCATGTCATGTTGAATTTCTTGGGAATTTTGATTCCAAATGGCAATTTCTTTACTGTGTTTAAATATCTTCTCTTAAAACAGCCTTAAGATGTACAGTCTCATCAATCATTCATGGAAAATTAATTGAAACAGACTACAAATCAGTCGTCCTGAGTCTTTTTTACTCAACTCTGTTTCTTTACTCTTATGTCTTCTCACTTGGATCCCTTTTATATCTTATTGGAGTGTGTTTTTGAGCAATAATTTTCCAAAGGGATTCAAGTATAGCAATTTACTGAGTCTGGAACATCCAAACACAAGCCATTTGTCCTTAAAAAATGGTATTATATATTACTTCATCATAGAATTCTACATTCAAGTTATTTTCCCTCAGAAATGTGAAAATTCAATCTAATGTCCAATGTAGCAAGTGAGAAATCCCATACATGTCTGATTATTGCCCTTCGTTAGCCACTTATTCAGATTTTTTTTGATGATTGTCACCTGTGCTAACTGTTGCTAATCTTCTTCTTTTTATTTTTTTTTCTCCCCAAAGCTCCCCAGCACATGGTTGTATATTCTAGTTATCAGTGCCTCTGGTTGTGTTATGTGGGACACCGCCTCAGCATGGCCTGAGGAGCAGTGCCATGGCCACACCCAGGACATGAACTGGCGAAACCCTTGGTGGCAAAAGCAGAGCTCATGACCTTAACCACTCAGCCACAGGGCCAACCCCTTATTCAGATGTTTTTGCCAGCATCTCTTGATGTCGTAGATGCCCTATAACAAACAAGCACACATTTTCCCTGGTAAATATTCAGGCAGATGAGAAACACAGAAGGTTATCATGTTCCTATCAGGCATCCATCATGACATATGAAAAACAAACATGGACACCATGAAAATAGATGCATGCTGAGGGAGGGGCAGCTAGATCAGAAGAACATCAAAGTGACTCTGAGGGTGACAGGAGGATCTTAGGCCACCTCACCCTCACCTGGTCACACATTCAGGGCAACACCTTCTTTCCTCCAATCCTTCTCCTTTAAATACAGGGAACTCTGGGCTCTGCAATCACTCAGGCTCCTGCTCTCCCATCAGACCCTGGCCTCAGTCAGGTGACTGACGGCCATGAGGACCCTCGCCCTCCTCGCAGCTCTTCTCCTCTTGGTCTTCCAGGCCCAGGCTAAGCCCCTGGGAGAGAAAGATGACCAGGTTCCAGCCCGGGACGAGCCTGGGGCCAAGGTTCCGGACACGATCATCTCCTTTGAGGGGGATGAACGCGCCACTCGACAGGTTTCAGGTGAGAGTCCAGCCAGCATGCTGTGGGGATCTGCAGGCCCATTAGAAGGACTTGTCGGAACACAGAGGCCAGGCTCAAATTGGGTGTGTGGATGAAGTGGGGTGAGGAATAGGTAACTTTGAATTAGAGAGGTGGATTGCCAGGGGAGGAGGAAATAACACGTTCATGACAGAGTAAGAACAGAGAAAAATTACCTTCCTGCATGACCAATATATAGTCAGTAAGATTTCTTACGATTTATGACAAACAGGTGAATTCCTTCCACCCATACATGACTAGTATTGCCTACTGTAAGTGGACATGTTGCCCCTTACCATATCTCCATGAGGTTGTCTCCAAAACTTTTCTTTCCTTCCTTGCCATGTGCCTGGCCCTCCTCTTCCTTCCACAGGCCATAAGAAACCAAAGTTGTGTGTCTGCCGAGTCCTACCCTGCTTCTGTTTGTGAGCACCAGTCTGGGACCTGCACCGGTACCTTCTCTGGTGACCCCTGCAGGCTTTGCTGTCATCCCTGAGCTTTGTGGATTAAAACCCAAAGCTACATTTGAAGACCCGAAAAGGGTTTTCTCTTTGTACTTTGTACCTTTTTCTTATTTCTTTCTCCAAAATAAACTTTAAGCATTGAACTCAGTGTGTTTGGCGTTTTTCTTCTCTCTCTTTTTTTTTTTTTTTGACTTTAAATATGGCTTTTGGCGTGGTTCATTTGTATAGAGATATTTGTCTAGAATGGTCTCGTTAAGTTAACTGACCTTTGCACCCTAGTGCTGCACAACTTGAGCATTATACAGCAACAATAAAAGTAGAAAAAATTAAAACTGACTATTAATTACAGCAATTTTAATCTGCACAATTCATAATGATGCTCAAAATAAAGAACTGACTATGAAGTATACCAAAAGAAGATTTTGACAAAAAGAAAAAGTCCAATGAGCTATGTTTACTTCTTGCTTAAATTCAATAACTGGAAGGTGTTTGATATATAGAATATTTTTCTTATTTCAAACAGACGTGTAAGTACAGATGTATATATTTTTTCTAACTGTATCAATGAGACAGGTTAAACTAAATCTTCAGTGAGCCACAAACAAGGAAAATCTAAGAACTTACCAACGACCGAAAATACTGACTGGCATCAGTGATCTCAATTAGTGATTAGATAAAATAGAGCCCAAAAGCTGGTCAATAGAAGTGGTCATGACCAATGACCAGTGAAATAGACGGGCCCCCTAGGGATCACAAAAAGTACATTAGCCCGATGTCCAACAAAAGAGGTGATCTCAACTCTCTATGTCTTCAAAAACATTGAGTCTACTAATTATAATGAACTCCTACTAATTTTAATAATATTGTAGCAAGAAATACTATATTTCTAAAAATCCTAGTGAACCATTCGATACTAGTGAATATTCAATCATAATGATGACACGATTATCACTACACTTCCCATCCTGCAAAAACTTAAAGAACACCTTATTTGTCAGAAAGGCAAGTCACTAAACTCAACATTTCTATAGAAGCCAGAGATTTAAGAGTACTATGACATGATAAAAGATACCATTTTATTACCTGAAAAATGTATAGCCTGATAAAAACTAGTATCTCAGGTTTGAATCAACTTGGAAACTCACCAAGTACCTTTTCCAGATGGAGAGTCGCAGTTTGACAATAAGATGTAAAACCACATTGAGCCCCCTCCAGAGTCTGGGAAGGTTACAAAAATCCTGGGAAGTTAAATATCAGAACAAAAGAGAAGCAGAGTTAAATCAATGAGATTAGCACTTTTCTAATGGTTCTGGTGGAAGGGACGAACAAGTTTGTGATCCTTGTTCTTGAGTATGTTTGTTGTTGAGGGAATTTATATGTGTTGAAAAAGAATCTAGCATGTTAAATGTATTAATTCATCGTAGAATGGTTCAGATCATTTAAATTATCACATTGGTATCAATATTTCATACTCAAGAGCTGGTTTTCACAAGCATTGATCGATTGTGCATTAAACTTAGTGCAAACAGTGCTAAGATTGTTCTCTGTGCCCAAAAGTCCTTTCAATATCAAAGAATTAACCAACCCAATGTAGGCTGGGTCTGCTGCCTCTCCCCAGAGTTCTGTGGTCAGAGCTCTCCTCCCACCAGTAGACAGGAGGAACTGGGCTCTCTCCTTGCTTCTCCTGAGCATGGATCCCTTCTGCTCTGTCTATCGGGACCTAGACCTAGTGTTACATCAGGTCACCTCCAATGAAACTGGTAGGCCCAAATAAAACAGAACAAAGCATATGGCCACTAAGACACACATCCCGCCTCGCTACTGACAATGTTGGGCTGCCTCTTTGTAACTGGGTCTCCAGGTGGTGAGGAGAGTATACTCATGCATCATCTAGAGATGTGAGAAGGATGATACTGTAATGCTTTAAGTAAAATGAAGCCAGTTTCAGGACCAGGTAAAGTACAAATCAGCTCAAGCCGGACAAATATCAAAGGAGGAGCCATTGCGTAACACAGTTCACATGAGTGCACTGGGACCTTCTATCGACATATTGACCAGTTCTACTTCCCACTTAAAGGCATGCTCAGAATGCCATCCATTCTGTGGAGTCATCACATCAGACAGACGTCAAAGCATTACCTGGAAACAGCAGGAGGATTTCACACGGCTTATCCACTCCACTCTGCCTCCGAAACAGGGAATCACAAAGCGTGTGCTCACAGTGTCTCCAAGTGATTGATATTCGATTCTCCCATCTCCTAGTAGAGAAATATAAAGACAGGGATGGATCCCTCCTGACCCGAGAGTCACACGGGCTGTCTCAGCGCTTTCGGAGTCCCGCATCTCCAGGTCCTTCCAGTCATGAAGACCACTGCTGTCCTCACGGCTGTCCTACTCTTCGTTCCCCGGGATGAAGGTTCAACCCAGAGGGAGCTGGCAGAGGACCAAAGTGTCACTGTCTCTTCTGTGGAGGATAAAATCTCAGCTCAAGAGGTTTCTGGTGAGAGATACCGGCATCAGTCTTGTAAAGAGGAACCAGGAGACTCTTCTGGTCTCAAGATTGTTACAACCAATCGTGTCTCTGTGAGTTCCCTGTTTACTTTCAAGGGCCTCAGTTTCTTCATCTGACCCAAGCAGTTGGCCTGAGTGATCTCTAAAGGGTCTTCTTTTTCCTTGGGCTTTGACATCATGACATGTGGAAAAGTCTCTGGACATGTGGAAAATACTGGAGAGCACCCAAGGACAACAGGAAATGGATGAGCCTGGCTGTGCTCCAATCAAACTTTACAGAAACAGTCAGGGGGACTGCTTAGCTCAAGGGCCATAGTTTATTGACCTCTAGACTAAACCTTAATCTATTTCAGGAGATATCTAGGTACAGAGATAAAGGCAAAATTTGCACATATGTGAAAATGTATGGATGCAGTGGCAGAGAGGACAAGTGTGGTTACAGACTCGAGCACAGATAGACAAGGCTGTGAGGGCTCAGGTCCACACTGGCAGTCATTGTCATGTCAGAACTCATGTTGTCTGATGCAATGAGTATTGCTGCAACTTAAGATAACCTGTTGAGATGTCTACTCTAACTCAAAATTTAGCTTCTCCAATATGCTCCCTTCATCCACCTCCCCAGGCACCTGGCTGATGCTGCCTCTTCCTCCAGGCCAGACAAGCAGGTCCTGCTGTTGCAGAAGGGACCTGCCAGTCTTAAGAGCTCCTCTCCATGTCCTGCGCATTCAGTGGTGTTCATCACAGGTGTTGCTTGTCAGTTGACTTCTTCATTGTAGACACACAGAAATATACAATCCAGATTGAAGTACTGGAGAGAACTATCAGTATCTTCTGGATCTGTCCCTGAGCTTTGTTGTTATGCCAAGTAAGGTCTTCTCAACAAACCTATGTTTCTGCTTTTTTGATGTTTGATATGTGTATCAGTTAGGACTAGTGTAAATGTTAGTAACAGATTTCTGACTAAAACTCTCTGAAATAAAAGACTGGCTCTGAATACTTGGGGAATTCAAAGAGTGATGCTGGCCTCAGACACAGTGAGGTATGAATGCACATGATACTGAAGGTCGATCTGTTCATCGATCTCTCTATCTGTCCATTAATGATCTATTTTCTGTCGACCTGTATATCAATCTAGCTAACTAACCATCTTTGGCTCTGCTTTCATTAAACTTTACTATATTCTCAGGCAGATAATTCTTTTGCATTAAAAATTATAATCACTGTTAGTCACAAGTTCATATGATCCTAACACCCTCCTGCTCATGGAAACCCCACTGTCTGCATCCTCACAGTGTGGGAGTGCTCCCCCAGGCAGTGCCCAACCACATACCTTTCTTTGAAGCCCTGGAGTTACATCAGTCCCAGTGGAATCCTCTCATTAACATGTATCTGAAGGTGTCCCCAAAGATATGACATAGATTCTTCCAGATGCTATGAGAAGTAACATACTTTTGTCTCATGGATAAGAGTCCCGTATCTTGATTTAACCCACAACAGTCTCTAATTCTTTTCCCATTGTACGTTGGAGAAACATCCTAGAGTCTTCAGTAGCTACATAAAAGTTGAGAATTCTTCTACCTTGAAGGGAGTTAAAGGGGATGTCCCTACTGAACCCGTCTTCTACATCAGCACTGCCTTTGGGATCTACTACCTCAGCCAGGTCATCACCACTCATTCTCATACAAACTTGCAGTGTCTCCATCCAGCACTCTAAGGGGTCATGAAAACCTATACTGTGCACATCTCAGAAAAATATTCCGAAAACATCATATTGATCACAAAGAGCCCATGTTGAAAGTAATGCTTGCTGGCTCCTATCACCCAACTCTCCCGCACTCCCGTTTCAAGGTACCTGCAGTGTAGCTCTGAAGTCCTTATAGCATGTGGGAAAATCAAGGAAAGAATATACACTTGCCTGGCTTCAGAATTCCTGCGTTCATGTGACAGCTCGATTTCTACTTATCATTCTCCATCTTTAGGGCCTTTGCCTCAAAAGAGAAGGTTTGTCTACAAGGTCTCCAAGAAGCTTCCCAGCCTCATAGCCAGACAAATTCATGGTCATTCTCCATTCTCACTAGCTTCTCTCCCAGTCATCACCATCCCCATGCTGCCTGATTGAATGTTGTTGCCATTTACCTTCTTCACGCCATTCTATATATTTGGGAACTGTTTTCTTGCTTCTCTCCTTATTCAAACCCTCTTTCTCCTTTGAGGAGGACTTGAAGCCTTTACTGTATCATAGTGTAATTTTCCTAAGTATTGCATTAACTTGAGACACTTCTTATATTGTGACTTTCTATCAATACAGAATAATGCCGCAAACTTCCTGAGGTATTTATAAACTGGAGACCTGGGTTTCCAATCCAGCTCCCATAAGTGCTTATCATTTACCTTTGGACATACCATTTAAATCCTGTGGGACTCAATATCATCTTATGCTAAATGAGAATATCATTGCATTCTTTCCACATATTGTGGGATGAAGAGAGCCTGGTGTGACTTCGTAGAAGGAGTAACTACTGTGTGCTGAGTAGTTTTCTCTGGATACAGAAAAGCATTTACTGCACTAATCTTATCTAATATTTATTGATTACTAACTACTCTTCATCCACTATGATAATTAATTCTCTCA